ACATGTGAAACACTATGACACATGACACAGAAAGACACACATGACGCATATACGGACACACACACGAGAGACACGCACACACACACATACACATATATCAAGGGTTCGATACCTACTTTTTCAGTATTAATATCTCTCAGATATTGCTATGGCAGGTGTATGGCGTTAGCACACAAGCCCAATACATCGAGTTATCTCACAAATTAATGTTTTCCGACCATTTCGCCGCACGGATATTGACTGAAAGATATCATAAATGATCACTATGTGGCAGCAGTGAGTGCTGGTGGGGCCTCTCACCTGGGTGACGCCAACTGGTGGATGCTGTAGTGCTGCCTCGGTTCTGTACTGTCAAGTGCTGTTGACAGTGTTGATATCCCGTCCACAGACTGTACCGTCTTCCCGTCCACCGCCATTAATCTGTCCAGTAGAGCGTTGGACGGTGGGTCGCCACAGGGGGGGTGCCCGAGGTAGCATACTTCGGGTATGCTACACCGAGGTAGCATACCACAAATGCTCCCCACCAGCAGGAGCATTTGAATGCTCCGACAGCTGTCTGTGTGTCTAGACGACGCTGCTGGGGGACTTCCGCCGGTCCCAATAGGCTGAAGGGCATAACCAAACTGGTCCGTCCTTGGTCCAGTTTCAAGGGTTGGGGATCGAGCGCTTGTTCGAGCATAGGCCTCGATTACAAAATACATTAACTACCTGTACCTGTTTGATCGGGGGGTGCTGCCCCCTTCCCCCCACATCTGTGACATCTATGGTTTTCTGAGCTTGTGTTGTTCTTGTTAAAGATTCGCTACCTGGAACAAAAAGTTCCAAGTAGCACGGGCTATGGTGAGCCCGAAGCGAGCTTGTGACACTTGCTGAGAGAGTGCCCGCCTCACCTCGGGAATGACGACACACACACATACCTCAGATATCGTTGAGGGCACTGTGAATACTGCTTACGCTGGATAGTTAAGTGAAATTACCGAACCTTTATAGAACAGACTTGGCCTTAAGCATGCCACAGGTGGCTACCCTCAAACATGCCACAGCTGACCACTCCCAAACATGCCACAGCTGACTCCTCCCAAACATGCCACAGCTGACCACTCCCAAACATGCCACAGCTGACCTCTCCCAAACATGCCACAGGTGGTGTCATCCTCGTAGTAGTAGTAGTTCACCGCGTCACAAGTTTTCTTTTTATCTTAACTATATATTTCCTTCAGAACTGTGTATGATGTAAACAGAAGATAATGCTCATTGTACTGAACTGTCCCTCGTACATATTCGTTTCAGTTCTGCAACGAGCCCGCAAACCCACACATCGTAGCCACGACGACAAGCTCACGTTGCAATAATATTTGCTGCAATGTTGCGGTTGCGTCGTGTGTAAATAAAATAAACAAATATAGTAAAGTAAAATGAGGAGACTGTCAAGCCGTTCGTGTTACGCAAGACTGGATTCAGAAACACCGCCTGGAGATCCACCTGGAGTCGCCCGGTCGTTCTTTTAAGCCGAATTGACCACGATGATCCGGATTATCAGTTCGCGACTGTAACACGCATATACCATTCTTTCTAAATCAAGATACCAGGCAAATTTCGCTCGCGATATTCTCTCTCTCTCTCTCTCTCTCTCTCTCTCTCTCTCTCTCTCTCTCTCTCTCTCTCTCTCTCTCTCTCTCTCTCTCTCTCTCTCTCTCTCTCTCTCTCAATAAAATAAGGACAAGAGGATCTTTAATACGGTGCCGTAATCCAATGTCGTTCGTAAAGAGATCTGGGACGGTGATCACTCGCTCTGTTTTGCCAATCCGAATCGTTTTTGGTAATCCGAAAACTAGAGTTCTATTGCTGTAGCATTCCAGCCATGATCAACGTGCGTATTCATTAAGCAGTTTACGACCTCCTAGATTTCACCACCCACGTTTATTACGGTTATACACGACCTCGTAGCCCTCCGGGGCTCGTAAACGGTTCAATAATTACAAAGCCTCCAGGACTGAAGAAAGATGAACAGGTATCGTAAGTGGGGTAGTTAAGAGTTTGGTGAATTGTGGATCAGGCCGCTAATGTGGCTCGTTATTGTTGTTGTTTCAGATTTAGCTACTCAGAACGAAGTGTCCAAGTAGCACGGGCTATGGTGAGCCCGTAAACCCAGCCAGATAGATAACGCTGGTATTTAGTGTAACTTAATTGTGGTGAAGAGGTTTCGAACCTGGCAAGGTTGGCGCCTCGCTCTGCTCATCCCGTCTGGGGCGGGGGGGGGTATGATGTGTCCACGTACAGATGACACAAGACACATATACGGCGCGTGACACTAAGGCATGTGATAAACAGAGCAGAACACACATGATACACGACACATGTGACAGACACGCACAGCCACGACATGTGAAACACTATGACACGTGACACAGAAAGACACATGACGCATATACAGACACACACACGAGAGACACACACACATACACATATATCAAGGGTTCGATACCTACTTTTTCAGTATTAATATCTCTCAGATATTGCTATGGCAGGTGTATGGCGTTAGCACACAAGCCCAATACATCGAGTTATCTCACAAATTAATGTTTTCCGACCATTTCGCCGCACGGATATTGACTGAAAGATATCATAAATGATCACTATGTGGCAGCAACCCTTATAGCAGTGAGTGCTGGCAGGGCCTCTCACCTGGGTGACGCCCACTGGAGGATGCTGTAGTGCTGCCTCGGTTCTGTACTGTCAAGTGCTGTTGACAGTGTTGATATCCCGTCCACAGACTGTACCGTCTTCCCCTCCACCGCCATTAATCTGTCCAGTAGAGCGTTGGACGGTGGGTCGCCACAGGGGGGGTGCCCGAGGTAGCATACTTCGGGTATGCTACACCGAGGTAGCATACCACAAATGCTCCCCAGCAGCAGGAGCATTTGAATGCTCCGACAGCTGTCTGTGTGTGTCTAGACGACGCTGCTGGGGGACTTCCGCCGGTCCCAATAGGCTGAAGGGCATAACCAAACTGGTCCGTCCTTGGTCCAGTTTCAAGGGTTGGGATCGAGCGCTTGTTCGAGCATAGGCCTCGATTACAAAATACATTAACTACCTGTACCTGTTTGATCGGGGGTGCTGCCCCCTTCCCCCCACATCTGTGACATCTATGGTTTTCTGAGCTTGTGTTGTTCTTGTTAAAGATTGGCTACCTGGAACAAAAAGTTCCAAGTAGCACGGGCTATGGTGAGCCCGAAGCGAGCTTGTGACACTTGCTGAGAGAGTGCCCGCCTCACCTCGGGAATGACGACACACACACATATCTCAGATATCGTTGAGGGCACTGTGAATACTGCTTACGCTGGGTACTTAAGTGAAATTACCGAACCTTTATAGAACAGACTTGGCCTTAAGCATGCCACAGGTGGCTACCCTCAAACATGCCACAGCTGACCACTCCCAAACATGCCACAGCTGACTCCTCCCAAACATGCCACAGCTGACTCCTCCCAAACATGCCACAGCTGACCTCTCCCAAACATGCCACAGGTGGTGTCATCCTCGTAGTAGTAGTAGTTCACCGCGTCACAAGTTTTCTTTTTAATCTTAACTATATATTTCCTTCAGAACTGTGTATGATGTAAACAGAAGATAATGCTCATTGTACTGAACTGTCCCTCGTACATATTCGTTTCAGTTCTGCAACGAGCCCGCAAACACACACATCGTAGCCACGACGACAAGCTCACGTTGCAATAATATTTGCTGCAATGTTGCGGTTGCGTCGTGTGTAAATAAAATAAACAAATATAGTAAAGTAAAATGACGATACTGTCAAGCCGTTCGTGTTACGCAAGACTGTCAAGCCGTTCGTGTTACGCAAGACTGGACTCAGAAACACCGCCTGGAGATCCACCTGGAGTCGCCCGGTCGTTCTTTTAAGCCGAATTGACCACGAAGATCCGGATTATCAGTTCGCGACTGTAACACGCATATACCATTCTTTCTAAATCAAGATACCAGGCAAATTTCGCTCGCGATATTCTCTCTCTCTCTCTCTCTCTCTCTTACTCTCTCTCTCTCTCTCTCTCTCTCTCTCTCTCTCTCTCTCTCTCTCTCTCTCTCTCTCTCTCTCTCTTTTCTCTCAATAAAATAAGGACAAGAGGATCTTTAATACGGTGCCGTAATCCAATGTCGTTCGTAAAGAGATCTGGGACGGTGATCACTCGCTCTGTTTTGCCAATCCGAATCGTTTTTGGAAATCCGGAAACTAGAGTTCTATTGCTGTAGCATTCCAGCCATGATCAACGTGCGTATTCATTAAGCAGTTTACGACCTCCTAGATTTCACCACCCACGTTTATTACGGTTATACACGACCTCGTAGCCCTCCGGGGCTCGTAAACGGTTCAATAATTACAAAGCCTCCAGGACTGAAGAAAGATGAACAGGTATCGTAAGTGGGGTAGTTAAGAGTTTGGTGAATTGTGGATCAGGCCGCTAATGTGGCTCTTTTGGCCCTCCAACGACCCTGTGGAGACGAGTCCGGCTGTGACAAGCACAGTATTAGGTCTTCATGCCCTGGGTACTGGGGCTTCGTGCCCTGGGGACTGGGTCTTCGTGCTCTGGGTACTGGGTCTTCGTGCCCTGGGGACTGGGTCTTCGTGCCCTGGGTACTGGGCCTGCATGCCCTGGGTACTGGGCCCGCATCATGAGAGGACAGTCTGTATAGAGACGGGCTGAGATAATGGTGTCACCCTCGCTCCACTGATCCTACACCACCACCACCCACCTCCTCACTGCTCCCACAGGATCAAAACATCGAAAATAGGTCCACGAGAAGTACATTATTATTCCTTCCTTCCTTCCTTCCTTCCTTTCTTCCTTCATCCCTCACTCAGTCTGTGTATGTCTGCCTGACAGCCTGTCTGTTGTTTAATAATGAGGCCTTTAACACCGGATCACTTAAGCACACACACACTATATAGCAAGCTATAGTTCCTTAATAGTAGCTGCACTTACCGGACAGTTATCCAGAGATGGTGTAGCAGGTGGGTGCCTTCGCTACGGGGGTGCAGGTGAGTGCCTCGCTACGGGGGTGAAGGGTTATTGCCACAGTTACGGGGGTTTGGTGGTGGGCAAATACTCAACGATTGTGTAAGTGGGTTTCACACACACCGAGGTTGTATGTGGGTGCTCCACTACAGTGAATGTAGGTGGGAGCCCCACTACAGTGGGTGTAGGTGGGTGTCCCACTACGGGGAGAGGGGAGGGGGGTGGAGAGAATACGGGGGTTAGGCCAATAGGTGGGTGTTACACAGCGAAGGGTTGGGTGGCACAGTAAACTATCAGAGGCTAATGACCACAGTGGAGGGGGGCTGGAGCGAGCGAGAGAGTGTACCTCCGGCCGGCCTGGTGTTCAGAGGGACACTGACAAGATGAGCTGGCTGTGCCCGCCATTACCACCACCACAACCACCATCACTACCACCACCACCACCACCAGCAGGGCAGGTGGCAGAGACCGATAGGCAGGAAGGGTCAAGCTTCACCAAGGTTGTTGAATGACCACACCCATGGATCCACACACACCTACCCCCCCCCCACACACCACACCCCCTCAAACTGGGGCTACCACCACCACCCCTCCCCCTCTCTCACACACCTGGACCCCCACAAACTGCCCCCTCACACACACATATGACACCCTCTCCCCCTTCAAACGACACGACACACTCACCCCATCAATTTCTAAACAGTACGCATATATGGGGCTACACCCAAGCCTTCCACAGTACACCCACTACTCCCCGCCCACGCCCGCCCTGGTATGTTGCACTACAATCCACCCACGCCCGAGTTTGTGAGTACTGGGACGGCGGGATTGATGTGTGTGCGTCAGGTCAGGTGTTTGGGGGTGTCATGACAGGTGTGTGGGGGGTGTCAGGGCAGGTGTGTGTGGGGGGGTGTCAGGGCAGGTGTGTGTGGGTGTGGCTTGCGGCCTGTGGACACAAGTGACTCTGAGTTATCGAGGCAGAAATTCCTGGGTCATCAGGGTGTGGTATTTGGTGTGAGTGCCTCCGTGTCCCTGTTCCTGCCTCACACCCACACCCGCTCCAGACACACCCACACTGTGTGTGTACTCACCTATTTGTACTCACCTATTTGTGCTTGCGGGGGTTGAGCTTTGGCTCTTTGGTCCCGCCTCTCAACTGTCAATCAACTGGTGTACAGATTCCTGAGCCTACTGGGCTCTATCATATCTACATTTAAAACTGTGTATGGAGTCAGCCTCCACCACATCACTGCCTAATGCATTCCATCCGTTAACTACTCTGACACTAAAAAAGTTCCTTCTAACGTCTCTGTGGCTCATGTGAGTACTCAGTTTCCACCTGTGTCCCCTTGTTCGCGTCCCACCAGTGTTGAATAGTTTATCTTTGTTTACCCGGTCGATTCCTCTGAGGATTTTGTAGGTTGTGATCATGTCTCCCCTTACTCTTCTGTCTTCCAGTGTCGTAAGGTGCATTTCCCGCAGCCTTTCCTCGTAACTCATGCCTCTTAGTTCTGGGACTAGTCTAGTGGCATACCTTTGGACTTTTTCCAGCTTCGTCTTGTGCTTGACAAGGTACGGGCTCCATGCTGGGGCCGCATACTCCAGGATTGGTCTTACATATGTGGTGTACAAGATTCTGAATGATTCCTTACACAGGTTCCTGAACGCTGTTCTGATGTTAGCCAGCCTCGCATATGCCGCAGACGTTATTCTTTTTATGTGGGCTTCAGGAGACAGGTTTGGTGTGATATCAACTCCTAGATCTTTCTCTCTGTTCGTTTCATTAAGTACTTCATCTCCTATTCTGTATCCTGTGTTTGGCCTCCTATTTCCACCACCTAGTTTCATTACTTTGCATTTACTCGGGTTGAACTTCAACAGCCATTTGTTGGACCATTCACTCAGTCTGTCTAGGTCATCTTGTAGCCTCCTACTATCGTCCTCAGTTTCAATCCTCCTCATAATTTTTGCATCATCGGCAAACATTGAGAGAAACGATTCTATACCCTCTGGAAGATCATTTACATATATCAGAAACAGTATAGGTCCAAGGACTGACCCCTGCGGTACTCCACTCGTAACGTCTCGCCAATCTGAGACCTCACCCCTCACACTGACTCGTTGTCTCCTGTTACTTAGGTACTCCTGTATCCAACGGAGTACCTTCCCTTTCACTCCAGCCTGCATCTCCAGTTTTTTCACTAACCTCTTGTGTGGCACTGTGTCAAAGGCTTTCTGACAATCCAAAAATATGCAGTCTGCCCACCCTTCTCTTTCTTGCCTTATTTTTGTTGCCTGGTCGTAGAATTCAAGTAACCCAGTGAGGCAGGACCTGCCATCCCTGAATCCATGTTGATGCTGTGTTACAAAGTTCTTTCGCTCCAGATGTTCCACTAGCTTTCTTCGCACAATCTTCTCCATCAACTTGCATGGTATGCAGGTTAGGGACACTGGTCTGTAATTCAGTGCCTCCTGTCTATCCCCTTTCTTGTATATCGGGACTACGTTAGCTGCTTTCCAAATTTCTGGCAGTTCCCCTGTTGCCAGTGATTTGTTATACACCATGGAGAGCGGGAGGCACAGTTCTTCTGCTCCTTCCTTTAGTATCCAAGGGGAGATTCCATCTGGACCTATAGCCTTTGTCACATCCAATTCTAGTAAACACTTCCTTACTTCCCCGCTGGTAATCTCAAACTCTTCCAGTGGTTCCTGGTTAGCTATTCCCTCTCTTATCTCTGGGATTTCTCCTTGCTCCAAGGTGAAGACCTCCTGGAATTTCTTATTCAGTTCCTCACACACTTCCTTGTCGTTTGTAGTGAATCCTTCTGCCCCTAACCTTAATTTCATAACCTGTTCCTTTACTGTTGTTTTTCTCCTGATGTGGCTATGCAGCAATTTAGGCTGAGTCTTTGCCTTGCTTGCGATGTCATTTTCGTATTGTCTTTCTGCCTCTCTTCTCATCCTAACATATTCATTCCTGGCATTCTGGTATCTTTCTCTGCTCTCCAGTGTCCTGTTATTCCTATAGTTTCTCCATGCCCTTTTACTTTGCTGCTTAGCTAGCCTACATCTCTGATTAAACCATGGGTTTCTCATCTTCATTTCACTGTTTTCCTTTTGGACTGGGACAAACTTGTTTGCTGCATCCTTGCATTTTTGCGTGATGTATTCCATCATATCTTGGGCCGTCTTTTCCCTGAGCTCTGTTTCACATGCTATATCTGCTAGGCATTTAGTTCCTTAATAGTAGCTGCACTTACCGGACAGTTATCCAGAGATGGTGTAGCAGGTGGGTGCCTTCGCTACGGGGGTGCAGGTGGGTGCCTCGCTACGGGGGTGAAGGGTTATTGCCACAGTTACGGGGGTTTGGTGGTGGGCAAATACTCAACGATTGTGTAAGTGGGTTTCACACACCGAGGTTGTATGTGGGTGCTCCACTACAGTGGGTGTAGGTGGGAGCCCCACTACAGTGGGTGTAGGTGGGTGTCCCACTACGGGGAGAGGGGAGGGGGGTGGAGAGAATACGGGGGTTAGGCCAATAGGTGGGTGTTACACAGCGAAGGGTTGGGTGGCACAGTAAACTATCAGAGGCTAATGACCACAGTGGAGGGGGGCTGGAGCGAGCGAGAGAGTGTACCTCCGGCCGGCCTGGTGTTCAGAGGGACACTGACAAGATGAGCTGGCTGTGCCCGCCATTACCACCACCACAACCACCATCACTACCACCACCACCACCACCAGCAGGGCAGGTGGCAGAGACCGATAGGCAGGAAGGGTCAAGCTTCACCAAGGTTGTTGAATGACCACACCCATGGATCCACACACACCTACCCCCCCCCCCTCACCCCATCAATTTCTAAACAGTACGCATATATGGGGCTACACCCAAGCCTTCCACAGTACACCCACTACTCCCCGCCCACGCCCGCCCTGGTATGTTGCACTACAATCCACCCACGCCCGAGTTTGTGAGTACTGGGACGGCGGGATTGATGTGTGTGCGTCAGGTCAGGTGTTTGGGGGTGTCATGACAGGTGTGTGGGGGGTGTCAGGGCAGGTGTGTGTGGGTGGGTGTCAGGGCAGGTGTGTGTGGGTGTGGCTTGCGGCCTGTGGACACAAGTGACTGAGTGTGTGTGTGGTATTTGGTGTGAGTGCCTGTGTCCCTGTTCCTGCCTCACACCCACACCCGCTCCAGACACACCCACACTGTGTGTGTGTGTGTGTGTGTGTGTGTGTGTGTGTGTGTGTGTGTGTGTCTGTGTGTGTGTGTGTCTGTGTGTGTGTGTGTCTGTGTGTCTGTGTGTGTGTGTCTGTGTGTCTGTGTGTCTGTGTGTGTGTGTGTGTGTGTGTGTGTGTGTGTGTGTGTGTGTGTGTGTGTGTGTGTGTGTGTGTGTGTGTGTGTGTGTGTGTGTGTACTCACCTAGTTGTGCTTGCGGGGGTTGAGCTTTGGCTCTTTGGTCCCGCCTCTCAACTGTCAATCAACTGGTGTACAGATTCCTAAGCCTACTGGGCTCTATCATATCTACATTTGAAACTGTGTATGGAGTCAGCCTCCACCACATCACTTCCTAGTGCATTCCATTTATTAACTACTCTGACACTGAAAAAAATCTTTCTAACGTCTCTGTGGCTCATCTGGGTACTAAGTTTCCACCTGTGTATGAGAGAGAGAGAGAGAGAGAGAGAGAGAGAGAGAGAGAGAGAGAGAGAGAGAGAGAGAGAGAGAGAGAGAGAGAGAGAGAGAGAGAGAGAGAGAGAGAGAGAGAGACGATGTCACATTGCTGACGTTTCCTCAGCAATGTAACATCTTCAGGAATACACTCTGATTGATTGATAGAGATTAAGCCACTCAAGAGGTGGCACGGGCATGAATAGCCCGTAAGAATACACTGTTTAACTGATAAGGAGAAGCTTACAATGGGTGTTGTTGTTGTCGTTTTAGATTTAACTACTCAGAACGAAATGTCCATGTAATACAGGCTATAGTGAGCCCGTAATTGAGTTCGGTTATTCGCGATAACCTTGTTACTGTGATATTTGGGTCTAAGTTTTAAATAGAAGTGGGGTTTCCTCCTTTTTCCCTGTTTGTTTTTCGCTTCTGTTTTAGTCTTGTTTTAATAACATTATCTTGGTGGCGGATGTAGGTGCAGAATGTTCACTAGTGAGTCCCATTCTTTAACGGCTTTTCTAATCATTGTAGTGGCTGTGGAATGTGCATGTAATGCAGCTGCTGTCGTTGGATTAATGTTGAGTTTGATGCGCCGGGCTTCAGTAGCTTCACAGTCCAGTAAGTAGTGCAATAGTGGCGCCGCTGCTTCTGTTCCACAGATATGACACTCTTTAACTATTGGGTTCATTACCTCCCAGCAGCACTTGTAACCAAGTCTGAGT